AAAAAAAAAAAAATCATTTCTAGCATCAATCCTTGTCATTCTCATATTCAATCTCATGTCCCCCTCATTCTCAACTAGCCGTCTAGCACTAAATATCTTCATGAAACCTTTGGACAATACAAGGAAAATAACCAAACTCAAAAATGAGCTTACCTCAAGTAAAGCTTTAATGGCTAGTTTAATTGTCTCGTCATCAGAATCTGCTACTTCATCTGTGTAGTGCTTCTCTAAAAATTCACGAACAGTTTTTGCACTGCGGCCAATGGCATTTGCCTGCAAAGAAAAAATGATCACATACAAAAAAAAATTAAACTTAGCAATTTTTAAAGTAACAGTAGCAAACTCCTTGTATATGCCAGTTCTGAATTAAGCTCTACTTTACAACAGCTGTTCTTGCTTTTATAATTTACTTTTAATTCAGTATTCACCTTTCTCAACACTCCTTATATAAGAAGACTTGTTCTTCACCAAGGCACTCCAGCTTGCCCAGTTTGGAAAACAAATACCAGGCAAAGGCAGGCTTTTAGCCAGATGGTCATCTGACTGTCCTATGGACAGTCACTTTTTAAAGAAAATTGCTTCATTTTTCATATGTTGCTTTATAAATTGCTCATTTGAGAGGCTCTATAGCACATTTTAGACACCTACTTTTTGAATCCTGGCTAAAAGCCTGGTTAAAGGTAATATCCTGACTGTGCATAACCTATATTCATTGTCACAGGTGGGTGTGATCATTTTTAGAGTACTATAGGTATGTGCATAGTATTTTGATTGAATAACATTACAACAAGAATCTGAAACTCCTTGAGCACTGAAACAAAAATTTGCAAAGAAACATAATTTACTGTCTTGTTCCCCTACACTATGCAAAGAAAGTTGTGTTCAATAGCACACTGGAACAAGGGTGTTCATGTGAAAATTGATTTTGGTTGATTAAAATGGTAATATCATGGTTGACAAATTACTACTTAATTTTGGTGCAAATTTCCGGCATTAATTTATAATTTCACATGGTAAATTACAAAATTGCCATGGTGACGTTTGGTGTGAAATTTCTCAATACAATAAACAAGCCAAAAACCCATGATTGTGGGTGTAATTTGTCACCAATGATATTCAAATGTAATGGGTGATTCCAGGAAATATCCATAACTATACCATGCGTGGCTTTTTGGAACTCTGAGAGCAAGAGGTGTTCTCTGAACTGGAAATCCAAAGGAATGGGGGTACTTACTGTATGATTGGAATTCCAGGGGTGTGGGAGGGTTTTCTAGATGGGACAGACAAGAGTGTGAAAGCACAAATGAACTGACGACACTGTTGACTACCGCAGAAAGCAAGATACACTTGACAAGAATCAATCTATCACCTATGCGTTCATTTACGATGAAAAGTGATAAAATGTGGGTTGTATATTGGGCTCCAGAGGCCTTAAGTTGACAAATTTCTTGCCTGAAAATCGTCTGTGACTTACGCCGACCTGCTCTGTTAATTTACTATGCGTCAGTGATACATATTCAGTAAGATGCCATTTTAATGGTGTCATAATCGTTCTAAATATTGAAGGTAAATTAGGCAGGATTTGCCCGGACATATTCTAATTTCCATAGTAATTAACACACAAGACAAATGCAACTAGTTTAGTCGAAAACTAGTTGCAAAATTGCAACTGAAGAGGAGGAAGTTTTAGTGGTTGAACATTTAGACATGAAAGCATGCGATCGTATCTGTCACAATTTGAAGCCCTGTTGACAGTTGGTAAACCTCTGGGAAGAAATCAAAGCATAACATCTATTTCATTGGAAGTTGTAAGGAGTCAAACTATGATTCCAGAAGATTGATGGCAAGGGGGGGGGGGGGGG